CTCTTGTTCTGTTTGGTTTATGTGGTGGTTTTAGCACTTGGCATATATGGCCATGGTACGTCACGCAGGAAGCGTTGTGCCGGCGCGTCACCCGCGGCTGGAGCCTAGAAACGCCGAGAGCGTTGCTTCGGGTGTGTAATCAGCGTGACCGGTTCAATCTGTCCTGCCTTGGTCTTGTCTTGGAAGTGCGGCCGTTGGAATCCTCCGTGATAGCGACGGTTTTCAATACTTAGGGTGTTAGACGAGGGTTTTTGATCCGGTTGGCCGGGTTTTCCCTCGAGCCCGTTGTTGTTTTGAGTCCCTTTGGTAGATCAGGGGTATCCATGCCCCACGTTAGGTTTGCCATTCGCGTGCAAACCGGGGAGGGTGTTCGTGTGTTTGGATACGGACTGGTTAGATCTACCGGCAACAACAGAGGGCACGCAGATGGGGCATATGTACACTTTGAAATGGTTCCATGTGCGGGGACCCCTCGAACTCCGAAGAGGGCTTCACTTCTCCCTACTCCCCTTGCGTGTCAAATACAAGAGATAAAAATCTTCCCCTTCCAAGTAAAGGACATGTACGAACACCTTCGGCGCGAGAATTTTCAGACCAAGAACCCTAACTAAGTGCAACGAGAGAGAAAGCGAGGGACCGACTGGGGATCACAGCAACGAGAGTGTGTACGAAGCGGAGCGGGTCGAGTTTGGTCGTTGTAGGACTGGCCACAGCGGCAACGGAGAAGCGGCACCGGAGCAGCGGAACCGGATCATGCGGATGGCGTCGAACCGTGACGCACGAACAAGCATCTCTTGTGTTGTCAATTATTTTTTTCTATGCTTAATATGACACAACGAATCCATTCTCTATTTTCCGTTTTTTTCCTAAATAGACTATAGGTGTTGGGTGTGTGATGACGTCACTGATCTTGTAGAGAGACGCGGCAGAGATGAATGCGGATAACCCGGGTGCCTTAATTGTGTACCTGCATCGTGGAAGACCCCTTCAATGTGGAACGATTCCTAGTCAGTGTCGATGTTTACACTGCTGTGTCTAACACAGATGATCTGGATAGATTCGGGTGAATGTCAATTGTAATAATGGCTTCGGTTGGTTGTTCTCTTTAATTGGATGTCCACGAACTCATTCTGACAGCACTTCAGACAGCAGCTGCATGCCCCGAGCTTGTGTACCATGCACCACGGTGTTTTTTTTGTACAGACAGCACTTCAGACAGCAGCTGCATGCCCCGAGCTTGTGTACCATGCACCACGGTGTTTTTTTTGTACAGACAGCACTTCAGACAGCAGCTGCATGCCCCGAGCTTGTGTACCATGCACCACGGTGTTTTTTTTGTACAGACAGCACTTCAGACAGCAGCTGCATGCCCCGAGCTTGTGTACCATGCACCACGGTGTTTTTTTTGTACAGACAGCACTTCAGACAGCAGTACGCTGTGGTCGATATTCATTTTGGTTGAGTGCGGGACAAGGGGGTTGACGCTGCTGCTGTAGTCGAAATTTTAGTGTTTATTGTTTTTCTCCAATCATTGGCTCTGTCGTCTGTCCCTCTGGCCCCTATCCTCCACTTCTACTAGCTAGACGACCCAACCGGGGTCACATAGGAGGGGGGGGTTGGACCCCCTCCTGCGGTTCACGCCTGAGGTATTTCTATCGCGAGAAGGGTACAGCAATCCCTTCCCTCGCGACTTACGAAGTCGATTATGGTTTACTAACAAACGAGCTTTGCAGCGCGTCGCTTTCATCCTAGACCAGGATTTATGTAGTGAGAAAAAAACTTTCTCTGCCGGGACTCGAACCCATGACCTGGCCCTTAGCAGGCTGCGAGGCTACCCAAGACCACCGGGGCGACCGGTTTGTGGGAGTGTAGTTCAGTTGTGAGGACGCAAACGTGCTGCAGGAATTGTAGGTGTACCTCGTCGGGCTTGTATTCCCTTTTCTTGCTAATAGTGCGCGTGTTCTGTAGATTTTCTGATGGCTCTAGCATTTTTGTGACCACGGACCGAGTCTTTGCNGACCACCGGGGCGACCGGTTTGTGGGAGTGTAGTTCAGTTGTGAGGACGCAAACGTGCTGCAGGAATTGTAGGTGTACCTCGTCGGGCTTGTATTCCCTTTTCTTGCTAATAGTGCGCGTGTTCTGTAGATTTTCTGATGGCTCTAGCATTTTTGTGACCACGGACCGAGTCTTTGCTAGATTTTGGTATTAGCAACTGACACGAGTTTAGTCCAATGAGAAGAAAACAACAACAACAATAACAACCGCCACTGTCGAAAAAGAACAAGCTAAACACAGCAGCGCGCCGCTCGATCACCACAACCAACCCGCCGGTCGCTCTCGGGGGTGAAGCCTCACAAGGGGTACTCCCTCTCCCCTTTGGACTCGGGCACCCCTTCCTCCTCGAGCTGCTTCGTCTCGGGTGCGGTCAACTTTTCCCCTGCCGGGTCGTCCGTCCCCTCGCTGTACACCGGAACCGTGATGTGCTTCGTTTCGTGCATCTGCGGGACGGCGACCGGGAGGGGACGGTGGCAGGCAGGCAGGCAGGTGGTGCAGCGCGCGGTTGGTTAATGGTCGGGTGGTATTGTGCGGGGGCTTTCGTCCAGCGGCGAGGCGTTTTTCTGCCGGCTCGAGGGGGGCACGGAAGCGGCGGCAGCAGGAATCATGACCATCGTCTTCATCAGGAGGGTGGTCCTGTTGATAAATCGGCGACGTCACCGAGGGGACAAAGCTGCCCCGGTAGGGGGCCTGCGCATGCTCCTGGCCTCCTGGCTATCTCGGCATCCCGTGCCCTTGTTTCGCTTACCGGCGACAAAGTGGCCCTCCTCCGTGCAAGGCCTGCTTTCGCCTCCCTTCCTTCAATCCTTTCATTCGTGTTACATTCTGCTCAAACAGGCTACTGTTTCGTGTGATATTGCGCGACTAGGTACCGGTTCTGGTGCGGTACGGCAGATACTCTCAAATACAACACCGCGTTGCGGCACCGGGGCCAGTCATCAGCACTGTTGTGTTAGCACTTGTTTGCACCCCCGGCACAACTCAGTAGCCACAACGGCAACGGCGAAATGCTTCAGGGCAAGCTACCACCACCACCACCACCACCACCACCGTATGTGCGCCCCACCAACACCAGGCAAGACCCTTCCTTCACCTGGAGGTTGACGTTGAGCCACGCGAACGCCAGCATCAGTGGGACAACGACTGCTACCACCGACAAACCGAAGAATGTCCACAGGCCGAGCACGAGCGATACCGTCGACAAGTCATACAGCAGGAGGCCCATCTGCGAAAGGAGGACGGAGGGAGGGAGGGAGGGAAGGAAGGCGGGAGGGCGGGAGGAGAGGGAACCAACAGGTTGGAACAGCAACAGCAGCAGCGGAGCCACGGAAGAGATTATGACTTTTCGCACTAAACGCGCAGGCCACCGTAGCTGGATGGAGGCACAATATCTAGACGAACCGTTGTTCGTTTCTCGCTTGCCTGGTACTTGCAAAAAAAAATACTGCACGATTATGGGCAGACACGTGCAACGCAGAGGCGTCGATTCTGCGTTCCTTCTCCGAGAGCAATGCACGCTTGCACCAAGCACGAACCAAGCTCGCAGAGGCGAGGGTGTTTCTTACAGTCTTCCCTTCTCCGCCGGAAGACCTTTGTCGTCGTCGTGGCGATCCCTCGACAAAAAAAAAAAGAACAGGTCATGTCCAGCTAGCTCTACGAACACGGTGTCGCGTGCTCTCTCTATTACACCTGAGGGCAGCAAGCCTAGGGTTTTTATTAGGGCACACATGCAAGACGAGTCGGAAACGAGAACCCTCAGACTGCTGCCATACGCTCTTGGTCGGCCGCCCTAACTCGCCTTCCCGTGCCAGCGGTACCTCTTGCCCCTATTTCTGGCATCGATGACACCGCTCGTGAAGCTCATGTGCTTTAACCGCCCCACGACGACTTGCATCACCATCGCCAGTAGAGTCTGAACGAGCAGCAGCAGCAGCAGCAGCAACAACAACAACAAAAGCTTCCAGCATCAGCAGCAGGTTTACCCAGGACTACGCCTCCTCCTCTCCTACGGGAGAAGCAGCAGCAAGGTCAAAGCGTTTCGACAAAGGTGTTCCGTACATCACGCCTATTTCCCGATGCCGAAAACCGAGCTGGGAGTAATCTACATCTAGCGAGTCCTCTCGGGGCCAGCGAGGCCAACGAACGCGCGCAAGAGGAAGAGCAGCGAGAAAAAAGCCAAGAGAGCCACGGGAATATGCACCAACTGTTCGGTACAACTGGCACGAACGAACTCGAATAATACGTACACGAATGCGTTGTGCGACGAGCATGACCCGACCGGGTTCTCCGGGTTGAGACACCTTCGAGATGGCACTTCTACCCGAAGAGTTTCGTACCCTTTACAACGCCAGAGAAGATAGTACGGTATTACAAGCCGGAATCGCCCCTTGCAAAAACGAAAACTATGCTGGCTTGCAACTGCCTTGAACTGCTTGCTTTTCCCCCGCGTTCGATTCACAGCTATCAACTTTTGATGAAGGAGTGCAGGAGACTTTTCTGCTATGGAATGACAAAACTGAAACATGACACAAAATTGAAGTAGAACAACATCACAACCAGTAAACATGAACATGATATCGATGAGAAGTACTTACGATGGCGCCAACCACGCCGTGCCACGTTCGCGGCAGGATGCTGTTCCTGTGGTACACCTTGTTTCCCGCGATGAAAAACAGCCCTAACGCGGCAAACATGGACGCCAAGACCTGCAGCGACAAGAGACAAAAGGAACAAAACACAAAAAAGCAGGCAAAAAACGCGAAGGAAGTACGAGGCACGCAAAACATAAAGGAGCGCTATTGTACGACATCGCAGGAACAAAATCAAGCCGGGGGGTCCCACGAATATTTCCTTCTGGCACAAGCATACGCATAAAATTGGTTTCCTTTACACTCTTGTGTTTGGCCGCCGGGCCACGCACCTGTAGCGTCAAATGAATCGTTCTCTTCTTGGCCTTTGTCCCGTTGGACATGATCGGGCTCAGCGAGTCCAGGAGCAGGTGATTCCTGTAGGCCACGACTCCCTCCGGCATTAGCACCACGAAGGCCAAGGCCATGCACGTCGCGTGTCTGCGCTTGGTGTTTTTCGGTACATAGCCCCGTCGAGACACACATGCACGCGGTTCGGTGTTTAGCAAGCTGTCCGTGGTTCGTGTGCAGCGCACGCACCGGTTTGGCAACATAAGTATAGCACGCAACGGAAGAGCAAGCAACTCGGGTTTACAGCGGCTGGCGAGTGTTTGCAACGTCACACAGCGCAACATCAACATCATCGCGGCAACATCAGCGGCGGCGGCCGCAGCAGCAGCAGCAGCAGCCAAAGCAGCAGCAGCAGAAGCGGCAGCGGGAGCAGGAGCAGTAACACCCCACTAAGGACAACGACTAGCGAACACACCACAAAAAGACACTCACAAGCTAAAGAGGTTGAGGCTCTCCGTCTTGGAGAAGGTGGACGCGATGACGATCACCGCGATGACCGGGCCCATTATGTGCGTCAGGAACCTCGGTTTCACCCATGCAGGGCTCTGGTCAAACGAAAAACGGAACACACGAGCAGAGGCAGAGCGCAAGAGCGTGTTGTGTGTGTTGCTCTCGAGGAAATATGTCCCTCCGCTCAAATCGGAAAAATGTGTGGAAAACTTTTGTCCTTTTTTCTTCCAGAGAAGGCCGTGACGTTTTTCTGGGGTGACGATAAGCAGCAGAAAACCTCTCGCGACAAGTCGGGATCGGAGTCAGAACAGCCGTCATTCGACACAACTATGAAACTATCGATGGATTCCGACTTCGTTGCCGCCGTTGTGAAGGCAGGCCGTGAAACGCGAGACCGTCGGAGCCAGCACCGAAGTAACAAGGTGCTGCAAGATGGCGGACTGCAAAAAACTCCTTCCCCACCCGGCCTAGAAGTTTGTCTTGCTTTGTTGGGGTGTTGGGCGGCATGGACACCTTTTGGGCACACGTACACTGTTCCGAAACCAGGGGGGCGGGGGGGAGTTTGGGCGTCAAACGTTGGCGTGCAACCCTCTCACGCGCAACACGGTCAGACCATAATAATTTACGAACATACGAGATACAGCAGTAGGCACCCGCAACAAAATAAAAAGGAACGTTTCTTTCTGTCGCACTAGATCGAATCGCAAGTTTATAACCGAAGAAAAAAACCAAGCAGGGTTAAGAAACACAGCTTAGCGCAGCGGTGGATACTAACCTACTTCCGTGGTAAAACAGTCTGTGCTTGACTACATGGTGGCGACGAAAGTAAGGAACTGGGTCGACAAGAAATTCACGTTGATTGTCTCCGGGCGCCAACTGCTGGATGGATTTGTCACACGTAGCCTAATGGGACAACACCTTGAGGGCATGCCTGGTCCAAGCCGATCCATTCTCTTCTCTCTATCGTTCCTCTCCCGATTACTCCTCCTCCCAATAACCCCCCCCCGCCCGTTTCTTAATCTTAGAAAATATACACACAATCACAATGGACTATCGGTCCGAGGTAACACCGTAGTTGAAGGGTGTGTGTTGAAGTCTTCGCAGGGACCGGGGGGGAAACCGGCTGGATACTGGGAATAGTTTTTTGTCCGAATCGCTATTTAGCAGTTCCACATAAAAACCGTTGTGTCCCCGACACTCTTTGACCAATGGGTAGGTATCCCTGTTCTTGTCGTCATCAAGATCTGGACGATCAAACTCACTAGTTGCAAGAAACATGTGTAGTCTAACCTTGAGTTACAACACATTTCCTTTCTGTGTTCTGTATGCATACCCCCGAAGAAGAACTTTTACCAATCAACGGATCACACCTCGCGGCATTCAAATCATCGTACCACCCAAAAATATACAACACTTCACCCCCCTAGTTTAGATTCGACAGCAAGAGCAAGTTGTTACGACGCAAGCCTGAAGCGAAATCCTCAAGAGAGCAAGAAGCGCGCCAGAGGAAGGAGGGAGGGCAGAGGGGCTGTTGTGCGCTGGCTCTTCGTCTGATTTCTTCACTGCGGGGCATACAAAGGAAATTCTACTGTTGTATTTAGAGCAGCATGTCATAGTCCTTATGCTCTTGTCTTTTCCAAACAACGCTAGCGCAATGGAAAAAGCCAGCAAGTGTGGCTCCTACAACAATAGCCCAACGTCAAGGATGCCCCCCAGGTGTTGCCCAAAGAATACCTCTCTACTCATGATGACTTCCCAACGGAACAAACGGCACGTTCGTTAGATGTGCGGCCATCGACGTCGTCATCGCATGCGGCTATTCACCTTAAAAGCTGCAACCACCCGTGCCCTGGCGGTGGTGATCTTGTCGAGCACAACCTTCAGCTTTTGCATCAGCCCCTCCATGCTTCTGTCTCCACGTTACTGCTGTGTACCCGTCTCGAGGATACCGATTCGACACTGCCTGAAGTCGTTCCGCACGCTGCGTTTGTTGCTTTGCTCTCGGTCCCTCCTCCACTTCGCACAAAATCAAGGCCGCCCCAGAAGGCGGCCAATCGTTCCGGTGCACAAACACTCACGTACACTACAACACAACACGGACTGATTGCGCTCCGTCTCTCGCCCGGGCGGTCCTCTTTGACTGCTGAGCACTGCAGAGAACTCGCCTCGCGCTCCATGTGCGGAGGCCCCGCGTTGGTCTAGAGCAGCTCCATCCGCACGCACCTACCCACCATCCCGATGACACACGAAGCCCCCATCGTCAAGGTCTGCTGCAAGGTCGGTCCGCAGTGTTATTTGGTTTGCAGAGCTCCTCTGGAAATTTTCGCTCCTTTTCGACGAGTTGTCGCCGTGAAGCACACCGTTGGTGATGAAGAAAGGACCTGCCTGTAGCTTTGGTACGTGTGGACGGTTTAGGAAAAAGAACGAAGCCAATCGGTCCCCGAGGCGCGAAGTATGGGCGGATAACGTAAAATCTCAACTGCGCCGGGGATCCGCACACAGTATTCATCAACAAAAATCACATACCCCGGAAAAGCCCCCTGACGTACACTTTCACAAAACCAGCCATAGCAGCCACCCACCGCGCCCTAGACACTACGACAGCGCGTCAGATCACGGAGTTAGTAAAGCTCGAGGGGTTAGTCCAGGAGAAACGCCGTCAATCGGCGCTGTGTGAGCACAGCAGACCTGCTTGGGAGCAAATTTTTGGCACGCGGAGCAACTCGGTGCGGCGGTCAGAGGCAGCCTGATCTAGTGCTAGCAGGAGAGTTAGCTGCTACCAGGTGGGGGGGGCTGTAGCTGAGGTTATCTCCTTTCGTCTGCTGAAGTTTGGTGAGGGATCTCTCTCGCAGGGCTTAGAAATCGGTGATCTAGTGAGCAGCTGGAAATCGGCAGATTCACCGGTTTTCGGCGATGTCGCGGGGTCCTCGCGCCATCTGTGGCAAAGCTGTGCATGGTAAAGAAGCGGCAGACGGGGGGCTCGGGCTATGCTTCGCGTGCGATCGGCCCGGCAGTCGTGACGGGTCCTCGAGAAAGTGGAACCACGTAGCGGATACGGAGCACTGGGAGGACCTCGGCGAGTGGTCTGCAAGTGTTGGGGAAGGGTGGCGTCACGCTCGAGACCTTCTTCAAGATCCTCTACGCGTTGGAGAGTGCATCTGTGCCCGCCCCGACTGCGTCTTCCAGATGTACAACTTGTTCAAGTGCCATCGCAAGAAGCAAGAGAGAGGAGGAGGGAGTAAGATGGAGCTCGGGCAGCCCTCACGTACGGGCCGGTACCCGTCGACTGGTTCGCAGGTGATGTGGTCTCGAGATGTGTGTGGATCATCTCCGGACACGTCCACAGCAGTACGCACATCACATCGCCGTTGCATAATTTGTAATCTGGCTTGTGTAGGATCCGCCACGGCGCCTTGATTGTAGAGTTTCAAAAAGCTGTTCGGCATCGCATTTATAGCCGCAACACACGGTGTGGATGTAGATTATTGCGGAGGTAGAGTGTTGCGGAGTAGGGGTTCGCATTTGTTTGCAAATTTCTGCCGATCATACTTGTAGTTTGACGATCATACTTGTAGTTATTCCTTCCTCCCTCTTGCCGAGCACACGCCGTTAGGTTTGAGGTCTTATTATGTGGTCTCTCATACAAACGAGGTAATAATTACACTGTTCAGTTCTAATTTATAGCGGAATCCTGAACCTTGTCGTCTTTCAAAAAATAAGAGCAACGGGTGCTAGGATTCTGCTGTTGTAGTGCTCAGGATCCATTCCGGCAGCCGCTGCCACGCCTTGCCTCGCGAAAGTTGGGCCTGCACAAGTTAACGACTCTAGCGACACGGAACAATAGGCAATTACTGTGCCCAAGGCATAACGACCGGGGTATAAGGCAGATGATATGAAAGTCTCATGCAACCGTTGCGTTTGCCCCACGGGATGCTACTTCAGGTTCGAGCTCTTCTGCAACACGTGGAGATGGCCGGTGGCGTGCTCGATTGCTGTGGCAGCACCAACGACGCAGTCAGCACTGTGCTAAAGGACCACGGTTTCGGCGTGACAACCAATGACGTCGATGCCAGGTATGTCTGTATGTGTTTATTTTTTTTTGTCTTCATGGTGCCCATCACTGTATTCCAAGTGCCTGTTGGAACTACGAAGTCTTGTTGAAGCCTTGTTATCTTTTGGCGTAAAAACTAGCATATATATATATATAGGACACACAAAGTCTACAGCATGGGCATCAGCCACCCTTATTGGCAGACGATCCTGTCATTTAAATCTTCAATGTGCCGTTTCTCCATTATTAAAATCAAGCCTTTTCCTGGTCCTTGTCACCCTCCTCAGGTTGGTCGCAGACAGTCATATGGATGCCACGACGGACACATTTGTGGATACCTTCTGCGAGGAAGGGCGGCGCCCGGAGTGGGTCGTGACGAGCCCGCCATACAAGCACGCCTTCGCTATTTTGAAACGTGCTTTGAGGATTGGGCGTGTGGGGGTGGCATTCAAGCTGAGGCTGACTTTTCTTGAGCCCACCAAAACCAGAGGGCAGTGGCTGAGATGCTTCGCTTCGGCAACTGGGGTCGTCATCCCATCCATCGCCACCAAAAATCCAGCGCTGTCCACCCGAACTATCAGAAGACCATCTAGACCCAAAGCGTCCGCCCCGATCATCATCGCCCTGCCATCGAAGTAGCCGTACGGACAGCGCATGATCTTGTCCCACATCGGCTTCGAAAGGATGTCGCGCTCTGCGGAATCCACCAGATCTTCGAACCCGTGAACCTCACGCTCCTCGTCGGGGTCGAGCACACTCAGGGTGTGGCCGTGCGAGGTGTCGACGGTGATGTCGCGAATGTACCGCAGGGCGCCTCGTACCTCAGACGCGATCTCGCCATTGGTGGCTCTCTCGATGGTAGCAATCGGGAGGCTATCACTCATCGCATGTTGCAACAAGCAGATGGGCCCGCAGCTGTTACTGAAGCCGCCGTTTCGAAGGCGCACAAACGTTTCGCCTCCCCGAGTGCGAAGGGACTTTCTCCGCGCCGCCGCTGCCGCTGCTGCTTTCATCTGCGCTAATGTCTGCGCCCACGCCCGCTCCGGCGGCCGCCCCTTGGGACGACGAGCCCTCTTCTTTACGTTCGCCACCCTGTTGCTGTTCTTGCGAGGCATGCTTTTCCTGCCTAGACACCCATCCGGCGAACAGGCGGGACGGGACGGCATTGCAACTCACGTTTGAGCTTGGTACGCACCGAGTACGCGATCAGTTGTCACGACTGTCATCCATGTGTCAACTACCTCTGATACAGCCCTGTCGGGACTAGTACTCTTCTTCCTCAAAATAGCGACGTGGAACGTGAGAATCAGCTCAGGCAAAAGGGGGGAGGGGTAGCGTCCCAGCAGCCGCTGCAGTAGTATTGATCGCAAGCACCTGCCTCCCCGGCAATCAGACACGTGGTCAAATGCAATCATCCCTCATCAACCTCAAAAAATATATATTCTGCAACGCGTACGGGTGGGTGGACACGCGCTGATGAACTGTCCCCTCAAGGATCTCCCAGCAGACGACTGCTGTACACAAAAAAAGTAGTACGCAGGATACAGAGTACAATAAAGACTATAATAATCTAGTCCACCTACTTCGAAGTAATTTTATTTCGTGTTTATAATTGTTCAGGAGAGAATAATCAACCCCTGCGAAACAATTGACCACGGCCTCGACCTCAAGCACGCTACGCATCGACTGGACATCACATGTGCATGGTGTTCTTAGGTCGCAACGGGTGTGCCCCTCTGTGCTGCGTGTCATGTGCTTCGTGGTCATGCATGTGCTGGCGTACCACACAGGCGCTTCCTGCACACAATACACCCAGCACGGAGCCTTTGCTGCCGTGGACCGTGCGTATTGTGCTAACGCTAACACACGTTCTTATCGTGGGCTAGTCCAATGATCCCCGGCACTCGCACAGGGGTGGAGGCGACTTTGGGCTAGAGCGGGGCCACGAGGTAGCGCCATGTGCATCTATGCGAATTCAAACGCTATTTGTCCGCTGCGTACCCTGTGCTGCATATTGGACCTTTCTGTGCGATGCCAAGATCTAGTGCTACAAGTAGCATCACGTTCCAGAGAGGGGCCATATCTTTAGTTCCATACCTGATCCACACGACCTCGAAGTCCTGTTTGGGATCACCTCCTGATGGCCGAGCTATCGGCTTCCGTGTGCCGAAGCTTTGTGGATACACAAAAGCCAAGTGGTTTCGGGGGTTCGTAGAGGGGAGGTTCACCCCCTCTGCGTGCCCCCCAACGGCGCAAATTTAGAGGAATTCTGCAAACCAAATAACACTGTCCGTCCGCTTCCTGTCCTTTCTGAGGCACATCGACAGCGAACATCGACAGCAAATCAGAGGCAGAAGAATGGTCCCGGTCGCTAACCTGCGTGATGAGTGGAATCAACTCCATACCGTTGTGACCATTGGTTCGATCAAGGATGCACTAGCCGTGCTTGCGGCCGGGTGTGTTGACATCGATCAAGGCGGCGGTCCTCAGGGTCTCACTCCACTCATGATTGCCGTTTTCAAGGCTCGGGCGCACGTTGTGGAGGCCCTGCTCAAAAGTGGAGCCAACTCGTCAATAGCGGCTGAAGGTGGCTTCACTGCTCTCCACCTTGGCGCTCAAGAGAGAAACGCCACCGTCGTCAAAATGTTGACCAACGCCGGTGTCGACCTCGAAGTCGTCGCGGGATCCAACGGCTTGACACCGCTTCACGCGGCCGAAAGTGGAGGAGACTCGGAGGCGGTGAGAGCGTTGATTGAGGCAGACGCGAATCTAGGCCTTTGCTCCATCGGCCTTTTCGTTTGTATGACGGAGAATAAGAAGGTGAAATTACTTGAAATAAGTATGGAAATAAAGTTTGTGTATCGAAATCGAAAAGAAAACGGCCGATGGAGCAAAGGCCTGCGCGAATCCCAACAGTCAATCGCCAAGCGGGGTGACTGTTAGTATTTTTTCCTTTTCGTTACGAGCCGTGACACCACTGCACGTCGCGGCCGCAAAAGGACGCACGGGTGGGTTGAGGGAACTGCTTCGTGCGAAGGCGAAGCCAGCCGCGAGTGCATTTTCAACATTGAGGTCATCGCCATACGGGACAACTGTCGTTCCACTGGACATAGCTGCCTGCGGCGGGCACTCGGACGTGGTGCGCGAGCTAGTTCAGGAGTTTGGGATTGAAGGATGTGAAGCTACAAATGCCGGGGGCCAAGCTCTCCACCTTGCCGCAATGAACCAGCACATACATGGACATCATTGCCATCCTGACCGGGGCCGGCGTGCGCGACGCGATGGGCGATGTTCTCCTTGGTACCGCCGGATTGGGGCGTGAGGCATCCGTCCAATTTCTCTTGCGGCAGCGACATAAGGAGAGTGAAATGCGCGTTCATGCGTACGCTAGCTGCCGCGACAATTCCGGCATGACGCCACTGGTTTGCAGTATTGAGTGGTGCTACCCTCGAGGTCCCAGGATCGTGTGGTTGCTCGTTGACGCTGGAACGGATACGACATCGGCCTTTCGAGTCACGAACTTGAACGGAGGGGTAGAGCACAACGACACGCCTCTGGCTCTCACAACCCCGTTCCTCCGCGAGAAGGTTTTAGACGGCAAACCCGCTACGGAGGAGCAGCTGCACAGGCTGCAGGCCATCCGTCGCTTGCTGTTGCGAGTCGATGCAGTCCATGCGGTGTCTCGGCTGTGGCCAAGCGATGCCCCCTCCATCGTCCATGTAGAGAGGTCCTGTGGTCCCGAGCCGCGTAGGCCACCGCTGAGCCTGACGTTGCCAATCCTGAAGCGACGGGTAAAGACACGTCACGTGTTCGTTGCATCACTCTTGAGGTGAGGAGAGTGATATGTCCTTGAAGTTTGGATATAGCGCATTCTGTGGACAGCACCGATCCCCGCTCTTCTGTTGTTGATCGAGGCTTGCGGAGTTTTGGCCAAGAAACAAGCACCTGTTTCTATCGCAAAGTTCTTATTTCGTTGGGCCAATGGCTGTTGAAATTGTTGAGGGTTGTCGTTATCAGTTTTTGGTGATAAGTGCTGCGTACAAGAAAGTCTCCCTTCTTCCCCTCGCTCCTCGACAAGCTTTTGCTTAGACATGGGTTGTAGTGAAGGGGGGGGTCTTTCTGGCGAGCAGGGCTAGACTCACCCTCAAGGGATGACCGAAACCTTCTTGCTGCTGCGCATATCCGCCGCGAGGCATGCGCGTGGTGGTG